TAAATTTAAGATGATAATAAATATCAAACCTACGAATTTGAAAACATCATATTTTAAACGAATGTGTAGGTACTCGAAATAAAATTCAGTATAGTTTTTAAAGCCATAGTAAATTAAATTTGTATTTTATAATCGATTCGGGAAATATTTTTATTTTTTGTCTACCTTAACCTATATTAGGTATATAAAGAATGTCCCGGAAGATGATTTTATTATTTTTACATGAATATTGCAGYTTTCCATTGATATTTGATATCACAAAAAATATATACGATAATCTTTAATATTTCCATCCTACTCTCTCTCACTAAACAATTAAAAATAGTATAGTTTGTATGGTGTTTAATGTGTGTGTAAGACGTAGTGGGCGATTCGCGTGATTCAATCGCAATAAGATACATCGAGACAGGAAAAAACGCTWCGTTGTTACCTATATATTATGTATTATTATCACAGTTTCTCACATAACCATTGCGACGGGTGTCCATCCGATTGAATAATATTAATAAATTACATCTATTGCGTGCGATTGTTTAATGTCACGGGGGTCGCCGCCACGGATCGCGTGTTATCCGTTTTTTAGAGGCGCGCTGCATTATTTATGCAACTATATCGGCAAATATATTTAATTTGGGTGCTTTGCAACGCCCAAACCGCCTTTAAATTACGTCCAAAAGCTAGACCCTCGAGCGTGGGAGTTTAACGTGAATACATRCACTTATCGTTAGAATTGACGAGAGACATTTTCACACTAATAATTCTCACAAAAACTATGCCCACGTTGATGCAATGTAATAATAAGATTTCAATATTACGACGTCAATACGGTCGTGTTTTTCCAGTATGAAATATCGAGCAAAAYGTTTTTTGGCGCATTACGCGTAATAGTTTAATATTAATGTAATAAAAGTGTGATAGAAACCTGTTAACAATTTGTATTTAAGATAAACACAGCGTGACATTAATTAATATTTTACACCGGTCATCGACAACAAAACGAAAATCTAGTCGCTAAAAATACTGTAATACTTATGTATTAATGCGCCTGCACAGACGACACATATAAATAGCTATAACGGATCTTGTTTTATACAAATGATATATTTCTTTTGAAGGAAGGGGAGAGGGGACAAAAAAGAATAATCGCTCTTTGATGTGTAAAATAATTACAAATTTATTTGTATTTTAGATTCTGAGCAAAACGATTAATGGTTTATTCATATCGTTGATCGGTATTAATTATTAAAAGTTAATAGTAGCTAGTAATACCTTCTGAAACAATATTTTAATAATTATAAATTATAATACCGTACACAAGTATAATATGTGATTTATTTTCGGCAAACATATGTTAAATGTACTTTATTATTAATAAAAATAAATTAGTAAATAKMAATATAAATAATGCATCATAATAATTATTATCCTCAAAAGAATAGGTCGATGACTGTGCTCGGGAATGTTTCTCGTTTACTATGATTTATGATTGAATTAGAATATAACACATCCATTATTACGGTGATTTATTCGGTGAAGAGTCGATGTATTATATATACTATACAGCAGAGAAAGTATCCCGATTTTATTTTTAAATTTATAAACATCAATAATCCTGAACCAGATAGTATTACACTAGATTAGATATATATATTTGTTTGTTATCATATTGTTAAGACACTTAAACTAAATTTCCAGGAGTTGTCATAATATAATTTCTTTCTACCCCACCCTTAAATATGTTACTGTATTATACTAATTATTTTAACATTACAATATTACATGTTTTTTTTTCGTGTGCATGACCACTATTTTGTATCTATTACTCATCATAAGTTTTTAAAATTACGGTAACGTTCCGAAGAAAAATATTTCGGTGTCGGAAAACTTGCATAATAATAATGTACACATTTGTGCAGAGAAAATTTTCTGGAATAACTTTGTGTTATTTATAAAAATTCTCTTCTTGTTATCTGTATAATACATTATTTCATATTTGATTGTCATTGTGTCGGGAATCGATGTATAATTTACATATCCACGGGTCGATATGAACGTGAATCTACTATAAATTATTCTTTTATCTTTAGGCAAGACCTAAAGAATACAATATTAATTATTATTTATTATTAAGTTTCTTAGAACAATAAATGCTAGTAAAAGTTTATTTAAGCACTTAAAATTATTAGTAAATAAGTTATTAAATTAAGTTTGTACGAAGTTTTCGTTCGTATTAAATATTATAGTATTTTAATAATTTAGTGGAATTAATTATTTTAYTATCGCATGAATTAGACAGATCATAAAGTAAAATTTACCTATGGTCACCTATATAATTTATTTTATCGTTATTTATCACCGATTATATAAGTACCTAAATGGCTAAATGTTTAAAATACCCTTTTTATGCCATGTCTATACCGGTATATTTTTAAGTGTTCAGCCTATTATCGTTTTAATTTAAAAACTGTCTACAATTTGCTAAGAATTATAAGAATAAATAGCATATTTTCCATGTAAAAAATAATTATTGTTGAAACGATTAGATTAAACTATATAGTATGTGTAATCCACAGTAGATATAGCTATAAGTAGTGTTATTATATGTGATATTACCTATATTATTGTTTAGTGGAGTGTGATTTTTGTTTGCTTATATAATTTTAACATTTATTTTTATTTTTTGTTTTATAGTTATATCCGTCGTTGGATTTGTTTTGTGGGTCGTTCCGCGTACTTAGCAGGTGGCATGAACATGGTTATAAAGGGGGTGAAAGCTTCCCGTCGGGAGGCCCCCTTACTGGTCATCGCTCCTCATTCCACATTCCTTGACTCTTGTATAAGTTATGTGACCGGTTTCCCTTCTATCATTGCGAGGATCGAGGATGGACTTAACCCTTGGGTCGGAAGTACGTGTCAACGCAATATAATTTATATTATAAAAAATTATTCAAATATTATTCGCTAAAAACAACTATATATAATCGTGAAAATAAATTAGAAAGAGAGAGAAAAAATGATTGTTTTCATAATAAATCGACAAAGTTAAAAGTGGTTTTAAGTCGTAAACTATATTATTTACACGCGTTACAAAGTATTTTATGACAAATACGACGACAATGCATGCGCATATGTGTTGAAGTAGATACGAAGTAATCATCCGTAATAGATTATAAATATTTGTGTGTGTGAGTGTGCTTGTATTTTATTTTTTTAGATAATATTTAACTTTCATATAATATTATAGTACACTAGCTATAGCGTAGTGCATATACTTTTGTAAATGCTTTGATACGCGCGATAGTTACTATTCTCACAGATAATATTTATATTTATTACAAAGTTGGGTATAAATATACCACTAATATTTTATATAGTGAAGGTTTGCTCATATTATGTTTTACGGTCCTATAGGAGTAATAAACTTCACGCAGCCCGTGTATGTACGGAGAGACGACCCAGAATCAAGACACAACACAATACAGGAGATAATTCGCCGTGTAAAATCCGACCAAGACTGGCCTCAGGTAAAATACTTTTCCGATAAAATAATACGATATCTGTGTATAGAATACATTAGCAGACGTTTGAAATATGGTGCATTAAAATCTATTGAAATGTCATGGTAGATTATATACTAAACTGTCTGAAACATTTTTACTCGATTTTTACGAATCAATGTAAAAACGATCTTTGGATAAGATATAACAAAGTATCTTCTACAATGTAYTTATTAAATGTAATATGGGTAATATTTCAGCGTCTATTATACTAACAATTTTATTTACCATTTGTATAATATGCATTGTGGGGACTATTGAATTTAATCGATACTAGATGGTTTTTTTCAATGTAAAAGTTTCGTCTTTAGATTTTAACTTGTTGATTCATTCATAGTAAACAGCAGTGTTTAATATGTTGGGTTTCTAAGTTGATATTCTTTGATGAAAATTGTGTGTCTGTGTGCAATATACAGTAAAACCTGAACACGGAATCGTTCATAACTAACAGATTTTTCTGTTGTAAAGGAATTTCCGTTAGTGGAATATATTGTTATTCCTATCYATTAAAGTTTTACCTAAGCAATATTTGGGYCCCATGTTACACGCTACTGGTTTCCGTTGTAGGGAGKCTAAAATGTAAAGACTTACCATAATAGTCGTAGAGTATTCGTTGTTGTTTTTTGTTTTAAAGAGTTTTTGATGTTATCGAGTACGGTAAATACATATGCATAATAGTATGTGAGTTGCTTTATCACAATGAGAATTTGCCTAATCCTTTTCCAGATTCTAATATTTCCAGAAGGAACTTGTACGAACCGATCGTGTCTGATAACGTTCAAGCCGGGCGCATTCTATCCGGCAGTGCCCGTTCAACCGGTACTTTTGCGGTATCCGAACAAACTGGACACCGTCACCTGGACATGGGATGGTCCTGGAGCGTAAGGGAGACACAATATATACAGTGTGATCACGATAAGTGGAAACACTCAATAACTATGTGTAGGCTTCATATATTTCAATTCTACTTTTTCGGCTAACTWATAAACATTATTAATTATTATACATATTTTAAAATAATTAGACTATTTTTTTGACAGTTAATTTTGAGCTTGCGCACAACAACTTTTTTTTATATAGCATGATCTATTATTTACCACAAATTATTTTTTTTTTGTATTTTTTAATGAATTTTAGTGGTTGAATTTCTTTTCTAAGTCAAAAAATGACCGAGTTATAGCAATTTGATTTTATTTTATTTGCACGGGTATAACAGATTATTATTACCAACTACTTTTTTTATAATCTGTTATACCTTATACCTATGCAAATAACATAAAACCAAATTGCTATAACTCGGTCATTTTTTGACTTAGAAAAGAAATTCACCACTAAAATTCATTAAAAAATACTAAAAAAA